CGGCGCGGCCCGGCCCGGCTCAGGCGGCGCCGCCCTCGTCGCTGCTCTCTGCGCCGCTCTCGCTCGCCGCGCCGCTCGCCTCCTGCGGGAAAGGCCGCCGTGAGGCCCGCGCTGCTGCCCTTCCCGCGGCCGCCTCTGAGCCCGCCCCGTGCCCGGCCCCGGCTGCCGCCCCGCCGCAGCATCAAACAGTGAAAATCGCCCCAAGAGGCAGGGTCCCCTCAGCCAGAGCGGGCAGGGCGGCTGCACGTGCTCTGGTGTTCTTAAACAGGGTCGGGGAACTGATGGGTGGCCCCACGGTGTGAACCGGGCTTGGCAAAGCTCTGCTTTCCCTGCCTCATCCCTCTTTGTGGAATAGGAACAGCTTCCTCCAGCAGTAAAAGCAACAGGTACTGCTGCTTGGGAAGACCTACCTCAGCCGTGCTTTCAGTGGAGTCTTCCTCCTCCTTGGAATCATCTCTTTCCTCCGAAGCCTGGGACAAAATTTCTTCCCCCTGGGTCAAACGTGCACAAAAAAAAACAAAAAAACAAAAAAAAAAAAACAACCCAATATGTGCGTGGTTGCTTGGTTATCATCTCAAATAAGCAACTTGAGAGTAAAAAAGCAGCCTTTGGTCAACACGTTTTGGTAGTGAAGGAGGAAGAACATGGTTAGGACTGGCTTCTGTTAAAACACACACAAGGAAAGTGCAGGTGTACAGGTATTATATTGGAGTGGCCTTATCTCTTCCCTTCTTGACACACAGTTATTGCCAACAAAGAGGAAGTATCCTCTGTTCTCACTGTTACAGAAAATAAAATACTGGTCACTAAAGCAGGGAAACCTTATTGTGAGAGGGGCCCCAGATGTGTAGCAATGCACGGTGTGTACCCMATGAAAGTGACATAAAATGCTTCCTCCCGCTCCACTAGACACCTCCAYGGCCATCTGAATGTGGCTTTATCATTTGAGCTGTGCACAAGTGCAGAGTTACAGCTGTCTGTGCATGGTGACATTTGTCCTTTCCCTGGTTTTAATGTACCCCAAGCATGACCCCATACTTCTCACCTGAAGATCGCGATTTTTAAGGATGCCCATCCAAAAGGCTTCCTGGCAGTGGTTGAATGCCAGCATTGCTTTGACTCGATACACAAACTGTTCCAGCGACTTCTTCATCAAGGGCACGTGGTTGGTCAGACCAATATCTTGTCGAATCTGTGTATGAAACAGTGCCATACATTTAYACTCAACAGTTGCTTAGGTTTTCTCGATGTTTAAAAACAAATCAGGCTGGAGAAAGAACATCATTAGCAAATAGTGTTGTTAAGATTACCAGCAGCTCTGCTAATCCAAGCCATGGTTATACAGGCRGGTGGGAAGGGCCCACTACAAAGTTTAGTCAGATGGTCTCATTTCTTGGCCAAACTAGTTTTCTTTTTAAAAACCAAGCATGAAATGAAATAAGCATTTTGTATAAAGGCAAAATGATTCCTTGCAAGAATCACCTATATATGCTGAGCAGCTATATATGCTGAATAAAAATAGAAGGASCCTCAGCTTTCTTCATGAACTCCTGAGAGAGAGGCTAGTGACTCCTCCATGTAATTCGGATGAATTCTGCTGACAGATGGGGATTCTTTTGATAATCTGCTTTTCATTTGCTCCATCATCGCAGCAACAGACTGGTATCACTTGTTCTGTTCTCCAAAAACAGCAGCACACAGCTCTGCTCTGGCAGAGCTCACACCACTTGTCATTTTTGCTCACTACAGCCATAGCTTGTGTGCACGTGAAGATCTGGGAGCTGCTGGTGCTGGTAGCGTGTGCAACTGGTAACGTGCATAAGCCTGACTCTTGCATGCAAGTAATTTTTGGTGAACCAGCAGAGCTACCTATGTAGGTCAGCGACAGACAACTGAACAGTGCCAATTCACAGAAAAAAAGCAACGTTACAAGTGCCAGACTTGCTATTTAAACAGGTATGAAAACAACCTGCTTGGAGAAAGAAGGTAGCTACTTGCTGAGAGCCCAAAACTGCAAACTAATCCCGCAGCACGTTTCATATCAGGAAATTACAGGTGTTGAACAAACCACTGTAGTAACAACCTTTCCCTGATGCATGTCTTGTGCAGTTCCTGAGGATCAGTGAACACTCCTRTAGAAATGCATCAGTGTAGTCCAGAAATAGTGGAAGCAGCTGGCATAGTAATGCACTTGGCTCAGTACAGTCATGGGGTGCTGGACTGGGTGATGGCAGAATCCTCTGGTGATTTTCTGTGACTCTGAAAGAGGGCTAGAAATTGTGCCTTCCAAGTTGCACACCATTGTAAGTTGGACCCAATTTCCATATCCAGAATATCAGCTACTTAAAATGTGCGTGTGCTGTTAGCTCCAATTTCCCCAGACTAAAGGTGCCCTAGATTTTGGAGAACTCAGACASGAGGGAACAGATGAGAGTTGCTCTAAGCAAAAATCAGCTCAGGAAGAGTTTCTATGCAAGAGATTCAGCTCCAGGTGAGTGTGCCTGTCTGAACTGCACAGCCATCACTAAACCAGACCACCTGCCAYAAGGATAAGCAATGACTTTGTGTGCGAGTTCTTTCATGGAAATGCTCTGCTACCCTTCTTGCGTTAGGTGCTCTAATTAAGCTTACTCTGAAATCCGATAAGCTTCATTTTTCGGAAAAGGTCAGGATGTGCATGGAAAAAGCAGGAGCCCTGTTTTGCTTCATGTTCTACCAACAGAGAAGAGGAGTTTAGAGGCAGCTGCAATGTGTTCCCTGGACACAGCAGTCATAACCAGAATCAAATCAGGGATGATCTCAACACCCTCACTACTCTACTGTGTTCCCTGGATCTCGGCAAGACTTGGGAGGATAGAGGTGAAGCYGAGTGCTACTGTCTACTGAGAAATGCTCTTGAAAGCATATGAGAAAGACTAAGAAATAAAGTTGCATGGTCACTACAAGAAGAGGTAAAATAAGTAAAAGGGAAGTTTTAATTGCCCTGAACCATGATGGTGACGCATTCTGTGCATCCCTGGTGTAACTCAGACCAGCAGCCACCAGCGAGATGCGACCATAGCAGCCTGGGTCTTTCACACCAGATCTCTCTGTTGCATTTAATGGAATAACTCAGATCAGTGTCTGGTCTTGTGAAGTCCGAAGAAGAGAAGCCTGAAGGGGGATCTGATTAATGTCTATAAATACAGCAAGAGAGGCAGTGAGGAAGATGGGACTGGTCTCTTCAGCAGTGGTCACCACCCATAGGACTGGAGGTAATGGCCACAAGCTGATGCACCCAAAGTTCCATAGGAACKTAAGGAAAAACTTCAGTGAGGGTGACAGAGCCCTGGAACAGGTTGGCAAGRGAGGCTCTGGAGTTTCCTTCTCTGGAGGTCTTCCAAACCYGCTTTCACACAGCCCTGTGCCACGTGCTCTGGGTGACCCTGTGTGTGCAGGGGGGTTGGACTAGATGATCTCTAGAGGTCCCTTCCAACCTTAAGCTTAAGCATTCTGTGATTCTGAATGCCAGTGAGCAACTATGGGTTTTATCACAGAATGGTTGAGGTTGGAAGGGACCTATAGAGATCTAGTCCAAGCCTCCTGCTCCAGCAGGGATACCCAGAGCACATGGCACAGGGTGGCATCCAGGCAGCTTTTGAAGATCTCCAGAGAAGRAGACTCCACAGCCTCTCTGGGCAGCCTGTTCCACAGCTCTCCACTCGATATCAAAGTAAAAATCAAGAATGGTTTAATAAAAATGTCTGCATCCTATCTTCTTCAAACAGGATAGGGACATTCATTGCATATATTGACCTGTCTTTTCATTCGTGAAAAAATATCTCTYGTTTTGGATACAGCTATGAAAACACCGGTCAAGTGCAAAGGCAAACAGCCTGTACAAGCTGCAGGGTTGTCATCTCGCTTACCAGGTGAGCTGTGACTTTGAAGGAGGCACAGAGATTTCACTTTCAAACAGGGCTGCCGAGCATCTCCAAGGTTTGTGCCGGCTTCCAAGGGACCAAGCTGACTAGAGAGGTGCATCCCTATACTGATGACTGCAGTGGCACATTCTGATCTTCACCTAGCCTTTCAGGTTCCTGCTCTTGGCTGTAGACTAAACCCCTAGCAAATCTAGCCCGGGGAGCTGTGCCAATAACTGTCCTTCTCCCTGCATCTCCTTTGGCAGAATTGCCCTCCACAACATGTATTTCYTAGTCCTCTTGGGACTAAGGAAAGCATCATGTTGTGCAGAATTCCTTATAACTGCCTTTTCCTGCATGATCGGGGTGGGGGGGCACTGGCTCCCCACGCTGGAAGCGGCCTGTTACTCCCGTTCCCCTTCCTGTAAGTCTCCTACAAGAGACTTGTAGGCTGCTTTGGGTGTCACCAATACAACTCGCTGCCTTTGCCCTCTTCTCTGATAACATTGTCAATGTAATGATGTCAAAAAGGCATCGTAAGAGGATTCTGAATAAAGTTTTCCCTTGTCCAACACCTGATGATGATTCTTTTGGCTCATGAGGCTATTGATCTCTGCCAATGCTTCTCGCGCATATTATTGATCTGACATTTGTATTTTAAATAAGGCAAATGCTGCCTCTAAGGTCTTAGCTTAGGTTCTCAGAAATACCCCTTTACAGATGCCAACAAAGATGTCAGAAGGCTCTGTCTTAAAAATCAGAGCATTTTAACTTTATCTGCTATCCTATTCAGCCACTTTCACATCAAATATTTCAACTTCTGTCCATCAACCAAGGCTATTTTTTCCTCTTCTGAGAGTTTCTGCTGCGACAGATATGTTGGAAGCTTGCAAGTAAAACGTGCCTATGGTCTGGAAAAGCAGCAAAAGGGAAATAGGTCGTCCTTATCACAGGAGGAGATTGCACTGCAGTTAGAGCTTATCTTACTTTGGAGTGGCCGCACATGTGATGAAGCTGTCTGGTACTCAGCTGCAAGGTTTTCAGCAAACTCTGCACATCATCCTGTAATAAAGAAGTAGATCTGCAAATCAGGGCCCAGAATGCAAGCAGGAATATTTATTATATATTTGATAACCTCATTCTCCTCCCAAACCCCTTTGCAATGCAAAAGAGTTATCTATTAGAAAGTTAGAGAAGTTGGGCAGATTAAGCCACAGAATGAGTCTTTGCTGGCAAAACTGGATTGTCTTGCAACAAAGCAAGGGCAATCTAGTGACCCATTCTTACTTGCCATGAAGTGCAATAAAGTTGGTCTGTCCATCTCCACTCATATGTATGTTGTACTGCTAAAAGCTCCCAAAATTACTGCAGTGACATTATCCCTCTGGATAACACAAGCGCTGAGCAACCTGAGGGCTCAAGCCAGCTTCCTACTCTTTTGAGACACACATTTGTGGCAATAACTTTTGAAGGGATTCCTTTGCTAGCAGCAAAGCAGTCCAGTCACAAGAATGACGTCCTTGACCAGGTTAGGCAATCATAGAATCATAATGGTTGGAAAAGACTTTTGAGATCATCAAGTCCAACTGTAGTTCCCTCAAAATCATACCTGTTAACCATGTCGCTGTGCACCTCATCTACACAATGATCTGTTTGCTGAGAAAAGGCTGCGCAGGCAAGTATGTGTTCATAAATACAACTCTTCCAGCTCTTTGCCACTTAATCCTTACCTTTCTCCTTAGAACAGGTGCTTCAATTTTAGCAAATGCACTGTTATCAAAAAAAGTAGGTATTGGTACTCATTTCTCTATGTTCTGGGGACTGCTCAACATCCCTGAGCGCTGGTGCCTGCAAAGGCAGAGACCTGCAGGCTGCCTGGCTCAGCACTGACCTAATTTATGGTGGACAGCAAAAGCTGGGAAGAGGGCTAGTGCAGGTTGTTTTTGCAGCTGACTAAAAAACACAGCTTTTTTTTTTCCAAAAAAAAAAAGTCCATCTTTTTTTGCATGTGTATCCAGCCAAGTGAGTGGACTTTTTCAAAAACACTATGATCCATGAGTCTGCCCACTGCTAGCTGGAGTTCCCTTTAATGCAACAAGCAAAGAACTGCTTGTGTTCTTGCTTTAGGTCCCCAACTGGTTCCAAAACAGTATACCATCCAGAGGGACCTGACAGGCTGGYGAGTYRGGCGGAGAGGAACCTCATGARGTTCAATAAGGACAAGTGCAGGGTCCTGCACCTGGGGAGGAATGACCCCAGGCAYCAGTACAGATTAGGGGTKGACCTGCTGGAAAGCACCTCCACGGAGAGGGACCTGGGAGTCCTGGTTGACACTAAGTTAACCATGAGTGAGCAGTGCCCTCGTGGCCAAGAAGGCCAATGGGATCCTGGCCTGCATCAGGAGGAGTGTTGCCAGCAGGTCGAGGGAGGTGATTCTGCCCCTCTACTCAGCTCTGGTGAGGCCGCACCTGGAGTACTGTGTKCAGTTCTGGGCACCCCAGTATAGGAGGGACGTGGAGCTTCTCGAGAGGGTCCAGTGAAGAGCAACCAGGATGATTAAGGGAATGGAACATCTCTCGTRTGAAGAGAGGCTGAGTGAGCTGGGCCTGTTTTCTCTGGAGAAGAGAMGGCTCAGAGGGGATATGATTAAYATGTATAARTTCAGGAAGGGAGAATGCAGGGAGGAAGGGGACAAGCTGTTTTCACTGGTGGCCAGCGACAGGACGAGGGGTAATGGCCACAAGCTGAAGCACAAGAAGTTCCGTCTCCAGGTGAGGAGCAACTTCTTTACTGTGAGGGTGACAGAGCAGTGGAACAGGCTGCCCAGGGAGGTTGTGGAGTCTCCTACTCTGGAGGTCTTCAAAACCCGCCTGGATGCCACCCTGTGCCACATGCTCTAGGCGCGCCTGCTTGAGCAGGAAGGTTGGACTAGATGATCTCTAGAGGTCCCTTCCAATCTTGAATATTCTGTGATTCTGTGATACCTCCAAAATGCTTACCTTGTGCTTTTTAAAGCTGTAGTCCAGGAGAGGCATGGCAAGTTTCAGAAACACTTCCACAAAGAGACGGCCATACTATAAAAGAATGAGAAATTCTTTTATAAACTCCATTATTAGCCATTTCAGGAGGCAGGTTTAAATTCTCTTTTAAAGAACCATCACTAAATTAAACAAGATAATGACACACTCTTTCAAGTTACCTTGGAGACCATTCACTCCTAGAGTTCTTATTAAAGGCTATATTCATACAAAGGCTGAACTTAGATGTACAGGACCAGGGAAGAGAACCACTTTAATCACTGGAAAGAGAAGTGTTAGTAGGACAAGGTCTCACCCTTGCACACATCCCTGGTTTTATTCTTCAGCAATCAGGGCACAAAACTGATAAATACAGAGTGACAAAGTCACTATACGAGTCCCAGCCAGAACAAGGAGAGCTGCAAAGGGACATATGACCTTTCTCATCTTTACGGGACGCCTGCTRTTGTCTCCTCTGATTTTAGATACCATGCACAGGAGTGAGGAGAAAAGGGGCTGGATTCCATAATGCCAATTGCAGGAAGTTTTTRCAGTCAAGCTATAGTGGAAGACAGTTTTATATATATATTTTTTAATATATGTAAGTATATAAAAATACTTACTAAAATATAAAATTATATATATTTATATATGTAATACAGAGATGGATATGGGTGTATGTATATACATATATACATATGTACATATACATATATATATAAAACAGTATCTGCTTTTATCAGGGAACTTTGTAACCACTCTCTTTTCCACTGCAGGCAATGATCCAGGAAAGGTGGTACTTAAACTGCTCTCTTCCGTTAAGTCTTTGCTTACCTTCAGACAGATGCTGAGCACAGGTCTGCTGTCAAATACCTACTTAGACAAGAGGAAAAAAAGAGAAAGATCAATCCACAAGTTTTAAGGAAGCAAGGGAAGCAGAGCAGGCACTTAAAACAGCACTCTGCTGGCTACATGCTATTTCAAATTTCAAGTGTGTGAAATGCAATGGGTGTTGCTGAACAAAGTGTAGGGTGGGAACACTAAATCACTGTGCTGTGTCTTTGTGTTGCTCACACAAGCATTCCAAAAAAATCAAAAGGCAACAATACTGTAACTAGCTGAGGTATTTAAATGGACCTGGGTCAAAAGAGAGAGCAGATTAAGAGCAGACTGAAGTACTTGGATGAATGTCTGCCTAGCAATCTGAAATGAATTTCAGCAAATCTGAGGTTCTTAAGTAGTCTGGGACCTGAGAGACCTAGTACGTCTGAAAGGCAAGTAACCAAACGGCAGCCAAAGCGAAACTGAGGTGTGCAAAATGATGTATTTTGGAAGGAATAAGTTAAGTCCAGACATCAGACCTTTCCCTGGATTTCTTCACATCTTGCCTTGACATTCATGTGATAGCTAATAGGATATGCAGGCTGTAGGAATTTAGAAGTATTAAAAAGAAGGTTATAAGAGAACCTTTACATGCAAATTATGACTGGCTCTAGTTACCATTTTCATTTTTCTTTCACCAGTGGATCATATTTCATATTTTTTTCCTTGCACTCTGGAGCCTGAATACACAGGGCCTTGCTGGCAATCTGAAGGGAAAGTCAGAAGAAAATAGCAGTTCCTCACCTTGACCAAGTTGACGAGGATATGGAAATTTCGCACAGCAATGTTCCACTGCAACAGTTTCTCCAGTTGCACCTAATGGGACGCAAGAGGACATCACAGTAACCAGGACGGTGCATTTCCTCTCACCTTGCTGAATACTCTTGCAGCGTTGACTATGTCCAGAGTGTAAGGTGGTGCTCGTGTTGAAGAAAGAGGGACAAAACTTCCCCCAGAGGCAGATTTTCCCATGGAAAGCCACTCTATCCTGATCAGTACCCACATCAGTACCAAAAAATAACACATTTCCTTGGTTCTGGTGGGAAAATACTTTTGTGCTCCTACACAGGTGTGCAAGATCAGCTGCACAGTTCATTGCTGATTGCTACCTGTTCTCTGGCTACAGCTTCTGGATTTTTTTTCTGAATTTACAGTGCAGACCTGCAAAAGTTTGCTATTTATATATTATTCTCTACATCAGTTTGAAGGTATCTGAATACCTTTCCTAGCCAACGTTCAGCAGTAAATTCCTGTCTGAGCTACATATACTTTATAATTTATCACTTATGCCCCCTAAATAGTTCAGATGCTTTCGTTTTCCTACCTGACTCGAGTCCAATGGCTTCCCAGCTGGGATACTTTTCACTGAATTCTCTAGCTGAGCCATCATCACTCTGAAGAAAACCGGGAAGGTCTGTCTGTTGAGAAAGCAAGAGCAAAACTAAAAGCTATCTCTGAGCTTCTAGGTAAGCTCTTGTCCCTAGAAGGGCATGGAAAACTCGAAGGGAGCTTAGTTGGGTACCCTCAGTAGGGAACAACAGCTGGACTCATCACCATTTCTAGCCCAGCCCCTAGGCAGATGGGGAAAGTCACTATCACTTCCCCAGGATGAATCACAACCTCCCCTTCTATATTGATGCAATTACCTGCTTAGGGTGGGATAAGTAGAAGAACATCCATCTTTGGCAGAGTTGATAAGTTCAGGAACACCAACACTGGAGATTTCCTCTATGGCTTTCAAGATGTTATCCGAGTGCTCCAGGTAGACACTAAACCCAAGCATCAGTTCAGTTCCTCATTAAGTATTATGCAGAGTATGACAGCAAGTCCTTGAACTCTCCATTACCTACAACATGGCTTAAAATTGTCAAGTTTATTCTGATGCCAAAGGCAAACACGTATTGGAAATCCAAAGYAAATACTTAGAACTGTCCCAATAATATCATTAAAAGCTACCAGGATTTGAGGCAAACCAGGTTTAATATTTACTCATTCTCACGAGTATCAACACATACAGATGTGTTCATGTATGCTGACAAGCTATAATCTAGCACAAATGAGGTCTCTGCATGCTTCTATGGCCAATGGAGACTTTAAAAACCGTGACTACACAAACGTCAATTTGAGTCCAAACTAGACTTGCTATGCTGAAAAGCTTCATTTTAAAATAAATAATCTTCTCAAATGTAGTTTTCAAGAACTGCTCATGTCTTTCCCATAGGCTTGCAGAAAGTATTGACCTGACACTGCTTCCTTGCAAATCAACTCAATACATGGCCCACTAATCAGTTTTAAGGGTCCTGGGGATAGAATCATCATAAAAAAAAAAAAAAAAAAAAACACACCCAACAACCCAGTCCTGCTGTTAACAGAAGCCAGCCTGGCCTTACCAGAGCAGAGTATACAGCGCGCTGTTGAACTGGCTGCCCTTCTCTCGCTCTCCGGTGGGATTCACCCACGACTGGCAGAGGAACTGCTTAGCTAGTGAAGCTGTCAAAGAGAAGGGATAACTCAAAGAAAGACCTGGATGTGCTTTGTTTCCCACATACTGCAAGAATCCAAGATAATTTCCTTCTTCTATACAAAGCCAGTGGGATCCAAGTGGCTTTTCAAAAGATCAKATTATCACTCTAGCCCTCAGGATTCTCAAACTCATTCTCACATGCTGTTTACAAAGGAGTGAAGGTCACAAATCACAGCCACAAAATGTATGCACATCCCGTATGTTCCTGGTCTGATATTCCTTGTTCTGGTGAGAATTGTCGTCTATCTCTGGCCATTTCTGCCTGACAAACTTATGTTAAGATCAGTAGCTCATGTAGTGAGCCACTTTTTTTTAATTTAAAAACCTTTTAAAGTTTTAAAACTTTTAAAGGTTTTTTTTTAATTGAAAAAAAGACAGGTAATGGGTTACCTTTAGGGCATTCATCTCTACAAATGGAGCTCTTATAACAACTGAGTTTTCTTTTTGACCACAGTTTTTTTAATAACACTGGTTGGGCAGTTCTCCCATCCTAATAAAATGTGGGGAGTGTAAAATAGTAAACAAAGTAAAAATAGTAAAACAAAGGGGGGAATTTACAATTCTGAGTGGCTGTAGGGATCTGAGAAAGATTAGAGCTGTCTTAGCATGACAACATCTAGCCGAGAGGGGTGACTCTGTGTTTGAATTCTTTATTTCAGTGTCTAACCAAATGGAAAACAAATAGTTTCCTTGAATAGTCGTTGCAAGCACGTCTATCCCTTACCTGCTTTAATGTTGTTCCCTTACAGAGTCAGCTCTAATCCCTGAGAAGAACAGTTCTCTTGGCTGAAAATACTTGTTGCATGGTGCTAAAAACAAATACACTTACTGTATTTACTTTTATTTAATTAAATTAAATTTAAGTAATTTAATTACTTTTATTTAATGGTTAGGGTTGTTCATCCCAGCGAGCCTGCCASGGTGCCTCCAGGAAATCTTTCCCTTCTAAGCAGCATTCCACATCCAGAACTTAAGATCTCGAGGCAAAGGACAACACAAGAACTAATATGGGATAAGAGGTTCTTCACACATTACCTATTTTCTCTCTCTTCCAACTGGTCATTGGCTTCTCAGCAATGGCAATCAGGAGCTGAGCAAGGGTGAACGCACTCGAAAAGCTGGAAATGCTCTGCTGGAAGTTCACTAGGTACTGGAAGCTCTCACTGCGGATGACAGGAAAGATGAAAGCTGAAGGGAGTGCAAATAGGATAATCTCCCAGAAACACACAAAGAAAAAGGATAAGCTTGAATCCAAGGTCTCACTAGCCCAATATTTTGTCTTTRGCAATGCCTTTGAACTATCCTGAGCGTATTTTTTCCTTCTGTGAATCCTACTGACTCCCTAGTCTCTAATAGGATACGTATAAATGAGGTCCATGGACCAATGTATATCTTATAATCCAGCAGCTCCTTTTCATTCGTTTGGAATGCATCATCACTCATGCCTTGCACCGAATGCAAAGCTCTCCTCTCTTTAAAGGCTCAGCCACACGATCCTTGGATCCATCTGATTCCTTACTTCATATACCTTCAGTGCACTCATTTTTCTTAGTGGGCCAGCGTGGTCTCTGCATGACCTTCATGGCCAGTAGGACAGCAGAAAGCAATGCAAAGGTTGCTCCAACTAATCATGCCCAGCATGTTGGATTTCAGCAACTAACAGAAGACAATCCATTTCTTTAAGCCTGCCCACCTCCCTCTCCGTTCAAAGAAGCGCAGATGCTGCACCAAAGTTATAAATAGCTCTCAGTATTTTGTATCATCCCATTCCTAGTTTAGCTCTCACAATTTTGTATCATCCCATTCCTAGTTTTTTCTTCAATAATTCTACAATCAAATAGGTTTTGCCCGTGCAGTGGCACAAGGTCAGGCTACAAAGACATTTGGGAACCTTTCAAATCAGCAGGACTTTGATTCTGAACTGCTTTTTCAGACTCCAGACAAGAATTTCTAACCAAAATACATGCCTCAAAGTATTTTTGATATCAAATTCATTGTACATGCTTTTTCCACTCAGTGTTTTAGACTTTGCCTGGATCTTCATAAAATTTCTTATAACTAGACTTTAGAATCCTGACTTTGATGGRCAATAAGTTAGTTTTGTCAAACACACAGTTATTCAAAATGCCAAAAAACAGRGAAAACTCTTTGATCCTACCTTATCAGCTCCTCAAGAGGAAGAAATTCTGTTTCTCCTGGCTTTAGCCTGTCTGCAAGTACCTGGAGGGCTGACCTTAGCAAGTCAGAATTTTCATTCTGAGAGAACCCATTCCTGAGGGCAGAAAAAGTGCTAATTAATCATCAGATTAGGAGAGTTACCAAATGTAAAAGCACATCTGAACACATATTTGCAACAAGAAAGCATCTTGATACACCAAGACAAGCCCAGTAATAAGAAAGTAACAGGAGACCCAAGAAACTGGAAACYGATTTTGACAGCAAACTTGGATCATACATTCATTTTGTCTTTACCAGTGAATGGAAACCCTTGTGCACACATAATAAGAATGCAAATCTTGTCTTAGAAGGGAGAGGACATTTCTTGTAAGTGGAAGTGTCTGTTTGTCTATGTGTCTGTGTCTCTCTCTCTCTCTATACACACACACACACGCACACACACGTTAAAACAAGGTTATGCAGATGTGAAAAAAAGAGATGTTTAATGGCAGTTCAAATGGAGAGACAGTGCCTGGTAACCTCTCAAACAAGTAGAAACCTAATAGTTTGCATAGAAACTACAGAGATCTTCACAGAGCCTTTGAATTACCAGACTTCTCACATCATTCACTGCTAATGTGTATGCTGGAAATGCTCAAATATTGCTCAAATATGCTCAAATATTCTAGATCTACAGATTGACCACATGCAATTGATCATGATGTACATCTACATTTAACATGCAGAGTAGTGAGCAATAGTTAGGAACGTATGTGAGGACTTAAATTACATAAAAGAAGTTGTAACTTGGTTGTTGGACCTTAGTAGCTGTACAGCTGGATCCACTACATTCCTGCCTGACTCACAGTAAAGCAGAACTATGTTACTTTCTATCCAGTCTCACCAGCAAAACTGATACTGCCATTACAGGTGTTTCTTAAAAAGGGTCACATGTATCTGCATTCTGCCACTATCTTTTTTTTTTTTTTTTCCCCAATCCCTGCTGTTTCCATCAGCTGCAGAAGAGGCTTCCACGGTGTCATCCTGGATTACATTAGAGGTTGCGAAGGTCAAATCCAGACTGCACATATATCTGTAGGTTTGGCGTTTAAAATGCAATTCAAGTGGGTAACAGTGCATCAACAATGTAAGTTTTTTTTCAACAAAGTACACACCCATCCTTTCCCACTGGCAAAAGAGATTCTTTCACTGTTCAGAATTCAGGCAGTGACAATTTAACATGGGTTAGAGGGGACTTTCTGGGTAAAAAATTCCAGGATTTCTAGGCAGGATGGGAATGGCATAGCTAGGTGTAGTGATGTGTCGCTTATATTGGTCTTAATTCAAAACCATGTAGTGTGTATTAATACAGTGAACTTCAGGCTTTTCAATGCCTCAGGCTGTTCTTCATCCACTGGTAATTCCCTACAGTTTTAATTCAGTTTAATTCAGTTTTTTTAATTCAGTTTAATTCAGTCAGACAGAAGGCTTTGCTGTAATTATAAAAGCACATTTTAAAAGTCTTCAGCCACTGCAGCATATTGTTCTGCGTGGCTGACAGGCCATTCGCTGAGTATGAATACTGTGAAGAAAAGGAGTACAAGAAGTAAGCAATAAACATGCTTTACTTCTTTATGTGACTGTAAATTCTTCTCTCTAAACTCACCAAGCAAATAGGTAGCGAAAAGTTAGCAGCAATTGTTGGTAACAAGAGGACATCAGCTGGTACTCTTGAATGTTCACTCCTGGTCCATCTACTATACCATGATTTTCTGTAGCAATTGCCTTAAATACAGAACAAACCCTTCATTAAACACTTCATTCCAAGGGCAGATAGTGGCATGGGTTCTATTTGCATACATTTAAAAAGAAATACATGCCCCACCCACTCCCTTTCCCACATATAACCCCCAAAATATCTTTCGAAGTGACAAAACTTGACTGTTCCCAGTCAAAATTGTTGTCCACTAACCTGGAAGTAATTGTGCATGTTCTCCATGTGATTGCACAGCGGTTTGAGTAGTTTGACCACATATGTAGCAACTTCCTTAGGAGATTTCTGACACAGGTGGGAAAAGCCAATATCCCTGTAGCCTCTCTCCTGCAGCAAACCCAAAGTTTAAAGTCTTTTCATCAGCCTGACCTATGAGGAGAAGCTAATATGTAACCCTGCTACTAGATTGCTTTTGAGCTGTGCAATTCCTGAAGTCCTACTGTCTGCCAGGGATGCCCATTGAATAAGGAGATTGGCTTCTGCTGTACCACCCGCTCCAACTCTCAGACAAATGGAAAAGATTTCATGAAAATAAAACTAATGTCAAAGATGCAGCAAATCTGCACTTTGTGCAAATGCTAAGGGARGAGAGTCTCTGCCCATGGAAATTAAGACAGGCTACAGAAACAAGGAGAAAGAAGGCTGTGAGTTAAGGAATCAGTCAGGCTGTTGTAAACTTCTCATAGTTTAACATGTTGAGCTAGTCGTGTTTTCTTTGTGGTGTTGGTCAGCAATGCAAGGAGTCACAGGAGTCAGAGTGCCATTCTAAAAGTAGCACTGTCTAGTGTTCCCCACCCATTATTTAGGGAATGCACAAGAACAACAAGAAGAGAAGACTCTGCCATGTATTCACAGAGCTATCGTCCAGCTATAGCAACTGGGACAGACTCCACCCTCACAGCAACTCTTGTAACTGTCTAACCTGAGCTACTTCTTGCCCAGTAGAGCCAGTCTCTCCAATCTGGGCTGGGAAAAGCCACCTGAGTTAAAGGCTACAGGGTTCTTCTTTAGCCCTTTCCTGAAACATGCAGAGACCTAGGTATTGCTAATACTTTAGGAAGGGAAGCACTAAAGTCTCTTTTGAACGGGCAAGTGCTGTTCTGACACACGGCTGGTGGGCAGACATACTATTGATAGGTTTTATGCTATTTAAACTTCTGGTGTTTTATGAAAATAATCTCTCTAAGGTAGGACTTGGAAGCTACCAGAGTAGATCAGCCTCAGCCTTAGTCTTTCCCCATCAGTTGCTGTTGTACGTGCCTTTGAGAAGGGCATTCGCCTCGTGGGGCTAGGGGTCAGCATGTGTTCCAGTTTCCAGCACAGGTCATCCAGAAGGAATAAAAGTTCATCAGGCCCCAGCTGCACAACTTCTCTAGCCTGCAATCACAGGGAAGAACAGTCAGTTTCAGGACTCTGCGTCGACATCTTGAGATCCAAGTCAACCTCCTCCATTGCCAGCTATGACTGCTGGCCTAGTGAACCTCATGGTTGGTTCTAGGGTTATTCTTCTCTGCTGCTGCAGGTATCGGATCATTGGTTCTGGTTCATGCTCAACACATGAACTTAGCACTTGGCCTCAGCAGAGGCAATAGTAGTAGTGTCCTATCACTGAGAAAAAACATTTACACACTGAAATTCTAAATGCCACTAGGCTGATAGGGATTAAAGAGTTTAAAGCCCAAGGAAGCCAAAATCACAACCCCAATTGAGAGCCAACAAGTGTTTTGAAATAACCCACAGCCCAAGAGATCTATCAAAGCAAAGATMAAGCTGTTCAAGCACTACCTACAGAGGAGGAGTGACCTGAAAACTCAAATTGTGCTGGAATGCTAATGGACTTTTGCAGGACTTTCACTTAGCTTTAGCATGACTTAGCATGACAACTTATGTTCCTGTGAGTTAAGGTTTTCAGACTATGTAGATAGAAATATCAGAGGAAGAAGAATCAAAGGCAGTGCCTATATACAAAAGAAGGCGCAAGCTGTCAACTTCTTCACATTTTACTAATTCAACTCTAGCATAACAAAATAAGAATCCAGGTGTACTCAGCCTGCCTGCAAAGAGGGTAACAAAATTCAGAACTTTGGATGATGCTTTGAGACACTTGCCCTTTTGCACTGTTAAAGGTCAGAGGATCCCTTTAAGAGGCTGTCCACCTCTTAGTGCTTTTAACATACTAGAACATAGCAGCAGCTGATATTAAAGGCCTTTTCTTTCCGTTAAGTCTATATATGTTACAGGGTATCTTTTCCTTTCATGGAACATCTCTACTGTGTTATTTTTAATGTAGTTGCTCCACCTGTGTGTACAGATCTCAGAAAAAGTTCTTTGCATCTCAGTGCTTTTAGTACTTGCTTTCAAAGGGGGCAAATACTTTCCTGGCACGCAGCCTACAGAGAAGATCAACTTCTTAACATCAGTTTCTATCCATTTGAAAAGAGCAAGAGGAAATTGGCTTCTCAGAGGAAGCCAGTTACACCAAGATACACTGTTTTACACTGTTACATTCACCTCCGTATGCATCTCSGTGTCCAAGACAGACTTTGTCAGCAGCCCACAGTGCAACACATTGAAGACCTCGAGGTCTAACTCGCGGAAATATTGGCGGTAGTTGTGCAGCTGGGCCACAGGGTTTCCTGACTCTCTTTCACCAGCAGTCTGAAAAGCAAATGGCAGAATTAAGCTTATGGCCTAGGCTGCACATGAACAGAGGATAAACAAGGTGAGAAAGAGAGAGAGAGAGAGAGAGAGAGAGAGAGAGAGAGAGAGAGAGAGAGAGAGAGA